TTCATTTTCCTGGAGCAGATAGACAATAACAGAATTATCTACATATTTTCAATTTGTCCTATTTTCAAAATTACTCTAACAAATATTTGTGTACAGGATAAATAGTAAGAACGAGAGCATGCATCCCTGTGGGTGGCCACTCGAGGAGCAGACCTGGTTTGACAGGACCCCACTTACATTCAATCAAGTTTTTGGGCCCTGTTAGTTAAAAAGTCAAGAATTGAATCAACAAGATTTTTATTCATGTTGAACTGTTCTGAAAGCCTTCAGATTAAAATAGCAGGCTAAATTATGTTGAAGCCTGAAGAAAAATCAACAAACACTAATCAAGCATGAGAGGTTTTTCCCTCCAGGTGTTAAATAACCAGGTTCAGCAAGATTGCAGCTGCATCTTCCATTCCTCTATGTGGTCTATAGAGGAGGTCAAGCACATGTTCAGTTTGTTTTAAAATCTCTGACTTCACAAGTTTCTGAACTTTCATCACAACCAATGTGAGAGCAACTAAACTTGTTTGTTCTTTTTATTTTGGGATGACAAGTCTTAGGAACAGGCAATAAAACAACATCCTTCAAAACAATAGGTGTGTGGTGTGCCTGTAAAGACTTTTTAAAATATAATGGAGTACAGGACTCCATTGTTGAGCAAATGACAACAACTATTAGCATGAAACTTATTCACTTTCATAAAGTGGAAGGCCTTTTTGACATCCCCCTGCTTGATGTTAAAGTGCTCATTATGTTTAAGATTACACTGCAGCTGCTGGGTCTCATTATTAAAGTCAAAAATGTTCAAACTAAAAAGGGGGAAGTATGATGATGATGATGACCTCAATCCTGTTGCTAGAGCTTTAACTTTAACATCTATATTAGAGTGGAAATCAGACTTGTGCATGTGTATACAATTTTCAGAAGTTATAAAAAATGATGAGCACTCGTACCTCTCATCTTTGATTTATTTTTCTTGTCTTTGATGATGATTCGTCCATAAGTGAGCTCCTCAGTTCTCACTGCTGAGTAGATTGCAGCTGGATCACTGTCTGCACAATAAAATACAGACAGAGGACACGATTGCAGAGACACAGCTATACAGAACCTTCTGTTGTTATATTAATGTCCACATATTTTTTTCTACTCCTTTTTTGTTGAGTAGTCAAATTGGAGAGACTAAGAAAACTAATGAACTACATCAGAAAATGCCACTGAACCACATGAACAAAAGCACTGGGTCACATACACATCATACTAGGAAGAGCAGAACCCATCCCGTAAAACTTTCAATGGACAGTTTTTTGTGTTGATACCATTACCAAAAGAAGGTTTGGAACTCTTGTTATTGAGTCAGCACTTTGTAACTTCATGTGGTCTGCCACTTCATGGGTGAGTTTCTATGGCAAATCTATCTAACTGCACTAATAACAGCTCACAGAATATCTAAGATAAAAGAAATTCCAGAAACTGACCTGTTGCAATGGTGACATCATATTTCAGTATTACACTCTGTTTGATTTTATACACCTGTGATTGAAAAAACTTATATCAAAGATTAAGAGATATGACCCCACACTTCGCCCATTAATATGGCTGACTCAGACTGAATACTAAACACATGTGGACAGTCTGGATAAAGTTATTGTGTACTATGGTCAGATTTCTCGACTTTGGTCTCTTCTATCCAACATTGCTCCAGAAGGAACAATGTTGTTTATGTTTTATAAGTCTTGTGTTTTGTTTAAACAAACCACTTCATCCTTGCAAACCTTTTCTATAAAGCTGTTTCCTTGGCAAACACAGGTGGACATATCTATATCATATAGCACTGCATCAAAACATACCTGAATGCTTTAGACCAGCACACTCCTTAAACATCTGTTTGAAGAGATTCTGACACAGCTTAATTAATTAAATATAATTATCAGAAACCAGCGGTTAATGTCTGGCGACACTATAATCCACTATCTAAGGAGTACACTTTCCATTCTAACCCTCACTTGTCAGCATCTCGTATAGATTATATTTTTATGTCCAAGTGTATCAGTCAGTTAGTTCAGCAGGTAAATATTGGTCATATAGGTCTTTCTGACCATGCTCCTGTGGTCTTAACCATTCAACCCATGAGATATATTGAGCGCTCTAGGTCTTGGAAGATGAGCACACTGTCTCTTTTGGATGAGAAATTTATACATTTCACAACAGAGCAAACAACAGTATTCTTAGAAATAAATGATAAAGAGGAGATAGACACGAGAACTTTATGGGATAGCTATAAGGCTTACATGAGAGGGATGATTATTTCATACACAAGTCATAAAAGGAAGCAACGATTAACAAGGCAGTTAGAGATCGAGAATAATATAAAAAAGCTGGAGAAACAATACTATGTAACAAAATCAGCTGAAACATTAAGTGTGCTTAATATTGCCAGGACATCTTTGCGTAATTTGATAATGCGAAAGGCTGAAAGAGATGTCCTTCTTGCCAGACGACGGCTTTTTGAATCGGCTAGTAAGCCTAACTGCTTTCTGGCTCGTCTTGCAAGGAATACTCCATCAAGTCCCTTTATCACAGCTATTGTGGATGTGAATGGTGAAAGACAAGTAAGAAACCGTCAGATTAATGAGTGCTTCAGAGAATTTTATACAAACTTATATCAATCTGAGACGGACATAACAAGGCTTAACTCAGGCTTTTTCCTAAACGACTTAGCATTCCCTCAGCTCTCTGAAGATCAGGTTAGCCTGCTGGAGTCACCCATAACATTGATATAGGTGGATAAAGCTATATCTGCACTCCAGTCAGGGAAATGTCCTGGGGCAGATGGTTTCCCAGTAGAATTTTTTAAGGTAATGAAAATGAAGTTAAATAGTTTATTATTAAGGGTTTTTAATAAAGCATTTGAAGAATCGAAACTCCCAGACTCTATGTACCAGGCTAATATAACATTGATAGCTAAAAAAGATAAAAATCCGGAGTCATGCTCATCTTACAGGCCTATTAGCCTTCTTGGTGTTGATAATAAGATACTTTCAAAGATACTGGTTCTTAGGCTAGAAAAAGTAATGTGCTCTATTGTGCATGCTGACCAGACAGGCTGCATTAAGGGGAGGAATTCTTATAATAATACTCGACGCCTATTTAATATTATTCATTTTTTAAATTTTCATCAGATCCCTGGGGTTGTTGTCTCTATGGATGCCGAAAAGGCATTCGATAGAATTGAATGGGAATATATGTTTGAAATAATGAGAAGATTTGGGTTTGGAAAAAACTTTCTGGGGTGGATCAAAATTATATACAAATCACCAATAGCATCTGTGTTAACTAACGGCTTGTTATCTTCCCCATTTTCATTGAGCAGAGGTACAGCACAAGGTAGCCCATTGTCACCACTATTATTTGCTTTGGCCATCGAGCCTTTGGCCATGGCCATTAGACAAAATGTGTTGGAGTTAAAATTGGGGATAGACAACATAAAATTCTGCTCTATGCAGATGATATTCTTCTGACACTGACTGACCCGGTTAACTCTTTACCCGTTCTTACTAGGTGTATCAAGGACTTTGGTCTTATATCTGGATACAAAGTAAATTTTGATAAATCTGTTATAATGACTTTGTGTAGTGGAGGGGATAATGAACCTTTATATGTTAAACCTTTTCATTGGGCACCATCAGGTTTTGTATATTTGGGAGTTAAAGTTACACCAAATGTTGGACACTTGTATAGAGAAAATATTAATCAAGATCTTCGAGAGATGCTGACAAGATGGAGGTCACTTCCGATATCATTTTTGGGAAGAATAAATCTCATTAAAATGGTAATCCTACCGAAAATATTATATCCCACAGGCATGTTGTTTGCAATTTTGAAATCAGAAGATATTAAAGTAATTAACAAGGCTATGGTGGATTTCATTTGGGCAGGAAGAAAACCCAAAATTAAATTGGAGACACTACAGTTACCGAAAGATTTGGGCGGGTGGGGAGTGCCAAACATAGAAAATTATGTCCTCTCAATACAAGCAAGGATTCTTTCTTCCTGGATACATTCTGACCTGCCATGGCTAAATATTGAGGAAGTATTATGTAAACCATCCTCACCTGTTAACTTCTTAGGGAAACGTCTGAATGACCTACCTCACGTAATAAAGCATAACCCACTGTGTGGACGTGGGGAAACCTGAGAAAATTTTTTAACAGTAGTCTTCTGTTTAATATCTTGTCAACGTTTATAAATAATCCAGACCTTCTGCCGCAAAACATAGGGTCAAGCTTTGTGGGATGGCATAAAGTAGGTGTAAAGAGGTTTTATGACCTCTTTAAACATGGTGTGTTTAAATCATTTGAATCCTTGAAGTCCCAGTATTCTATGTCAAAGACTGAGTTTTATAAGTATTTGCAATTGAGAAATTATGTGCTAAAAAATGCTAAATCATTACAAATCTCAACTGCCTCTTTTCGGTTGGAGAAATTTTTTCTGGATAATAGGGAGCATAAACATTTTGTATCAAAGTTTTATTCTGAGATTTATGCCCTAATTGTGGATAAACTGACATGGTTGAGAAAATCTTGGGGGACGTTGCTTAAATGTGAAATAGATATACAGGCATGGGACAAAATTTTGCTCCTTCCATCCAAAATCTCTGTTTGTAACCGATTTAAAGAACTGCAGTACAAAATCCTGCACAATGTGTATATTTCTCTGTATATTTATAGTAAGTATAATATGGGAACATCTCCAAACTGTCTCAAGTGTAAGGTCAGAGTGGGCACTAGATTCCACTGCTTGTGGGAATGTGCTATTATCCAGTCGTTTTGGAAAGAGGTCTGCGCCAATATTAGTACAGCCATTGGTCATCAGGTGACAGAAAACCCATTAATGTGTATATTGAGATATATCCCTGTTTCACTGGTACAACATGAGCATGTAATTCAGTCACTGTTAATGTTGGCCAGGAAAAGCATCATGTTGAGACGGGTGGGGCTGAGCCTCCCTCCATTTCTCTATGGAAGTCGCTCATCATTGAAGTTATGACTCTGATCAGGCTGGGACACTATGTTGATGGGAGCCTCCGAATTTTTGTGGACAAATGGAAGAAACCACTGGAAGCACTGGGAGTAACCTGTAAACTGGATCCTAGTGGACAACAATTATGGACATAATGTTGTAATACTCTAGTGCTGTTTAGTGTTATTATTTTGGATGTGAACCAGTCTTATATTTGTTGGGGGAAAAAAAGTTAAATAAAAGTTAAAAAAAAAAGAAAAAAGAAAGAAACCAGCGGTTACATGTCATCTTAATTCCCGTGAATGCACTAAGAGTGTACCTAATTTTTCCAACACTTTTTGTTATTGCACAAAATAAGATGATTTTTTTTTCACAGGACTGTACATGACACTTCCTATAATCCGGCAATATACAGTTTTATTTCTTCTAATAATAGTGGTGTAAAAACAAACAAACAAAAAGACGCACCAGCTTTAAACTACCTGTCAATACCTGTCAATATGTCACACAAACTATTAAATTGTTAACTCCGTAAAACAAAAATAAAAATTGGCATATTGGCAGGTGAACAGCATTGCAATGAGTTTACTGAGGTTGAGAGTTGGTGTTTGTGCACACACTTTACTTCTCTTAAAAGCCCTCTAGCAAAACCTGAGCAGCTGAAGCGCTCTCATTAGAAACAGGAAACAGAGCAACCACAGAGCTGTTAGCTCATGTAAACGGACTAACCACAGCATCAAAAAACAAACAGTCCAACAAGCAAAGGGAAAAAAGCCTTCACAGTTAACTGTCATCTAAAGACACAGAAGAACAAAGGGATTATTTTTAGGCTTTCACACAAGTTTTGGCAAAATATATGAGTGAAACAATTTCACTTTAATATTAATACAGTGAATTTTTTAGGAAACATGAGCTAACATAAACACGAAACTAGGCCATCTGTGTGATAGAAAATTAGAAAATAGTAGCTGAGAATTAAACTGTCACCAATGTACAGAGTACTGTCTTTAGCTCTGTAAATGTTGGTGTGGAGCTGAAGAACGCCTTCTTAAGAAATACTAAATGTTATGAGAAACTTTAAAAACTCAGCAATAAATATATACTTTATATATGGACACGCCACATAAAACACTACCTCTGCTCCATCTGATTGGCTCTTGTTGGTAATGTAATATTTTGAGGTCACTGTAAGTGATGTCATCTTCACTAGCATTTCCAGTATCATCTAAAATGAACCAAAATAAATATCAATAAAATTATTCTATAGTAGGCTTAATGAACACTTTTATTTACGCTTTTATTTTTTTTTTAAAAAATGTTGAACATGTTTGTAAATTACATTCGAAAATAATTAACATAACTTTTTAAAGAAATAATTCTTAGTCTCACCTTTCGACTTCCTGTGAACACATCGTCTCACCAATAGAATCACTAACACCAGTAGAATCACAACACAGACTGATCCAACAGTCAGCAGCACATGGAGATAAGGAGGAGAGGAATCAGCAGGAGTGGTTGTAGTAATGGAGGCTGATGTAGGTGGAGGTGTGGTGGTGGGTTTATGTAAAATAAAGCAAACACAGTCATTAAGTTGTCGTCACATTGTGAATGTTGAAACCTGCAGAAACACAGACAGGTGAGTGTGTCACCTGTGACAGTGATCCAGCTGGATGGAGACTCTTCATGACCGCTGATGTCACACTTGTAGAGGCCTTCATCAGACCTGGAAACATGCTGGATGGTCATGTGACCTGTTGACTCATTCCCAATGAGGGAGCCATCTTTATAGAAAGCAGCTGGGAGGTTGGAGGGACCAGTCTTGTTTTTACAGAGCAGAGTGACGTCATCTCCCTCCATCACAGGGAGGACAGGACTCTGCAGGATCACTGATCCACCTCAACACAGAGACAAACTACAGCATTTCATCCATTTACACACAGCTTCATCAACACTAACTCCACACACTCAGCTTACCAGTGACTGTCAGGTTAACCATGTTACTGATGGGACCCTCTCTGGACTCACACCAGTAAACTCCACTGTGTGATGTGTAAATGTAGCTGATGTTACAGAAAGAACCAGCTGATTTCCCCCAGTCAGCCCCACACTGAGTCCTCTGTTGTTTGCTTGTGTTTCTCCTCAGAGTCCATCCAGCAGAGCTGTCGTCCTCCTCACAGCTCAGAGACACAAAGTCTCTAATAAAGAACTGAGAGCTGCTGGGACTCACAGTCAGACGAGCTGTGAAGTGTTAAAATGAAAAATCATCTTTCTTATAATGTTAATACAATTGCAAATTCATTCAATCACAGAAACCCTTCACCAAATCTAAAGAATGAGCAGCTCATATAAAACTGTACAATGTTTTTTTGTGATTTTGGGGGCCATAACTACAAGCATAGAGATGATAAAGTCATGTAGTTGCATCAATACTGTCATCCCCCTAAATTTCAACATAAATCATTGATGAGATCTAGAAACAGTAACTTAAGTCTGATGCAAATGATCATGGAATTTTATGAATCCATGCATTGATTGAATAATTAATTAATTAATTATAAATAATAATAAATAAATAAATAAATTATTCTGTTCATCCGGACGCGTAAATTTTTGTTGGGAAAAATGTTTTACCAATCATCTAAGTGACTTCTTCAGTCTCTTAAACAAGTGGGTTTTTTTTTTTTTCATAATACAACATAGAAAACTAATGAAATTCTAAAAAAGAGACATTTGATGACAGCATCAGGTCTCAAAAAAGTTTGGACAACAGCCAGGAAAAGGAAGTGGTCGCAAAAAGAAACAGCTGGAGGAGATTTTGCAACAAATTAGTTGCAAAAGTTAAATGGCAACAGGTTATTAACATGATTGGGTGTAAAAAGAGCATTTTAGAGAGACAGAATTTCTTTCCAGAAGTTAAGATTGGCAGAGGTTCACTAAACTAGAAACCAAAAACCACAACTATAAAATTCCAGCAGCTCAGTTCCCATGAACGGTTCATGAACGGTTGTTAATAAAAGAGGGGATATGTCAAAGGTAGCCCGTGCCAACTTTTTTGATCTAGGTTGCTGCCATCAAATTTAAGTGACTTTTTTGTCTTAAAAATGGTCTAGTTTCCCATTTTAAATTATTAAATAATTTTTAAACATTTGATATGTTTTTAATGTTATTTCAGTGCTGTGAAAAATATTTGCCCCTTTACTGAGTTCTCTTTTTTTTTTTGCAAATTTCTCACACATACATGTTTCAGCTCAAACAAAAAGTGTGATCATCATGTAAAATACAATTTCATTTGTTGCAGAAAACCTCAACTATCTCAACCTCGTATATGAAAAAAAGTAAGTTCATGTGAAACCTGGCCCCACCTTATCATGCAAACACAATGAGTGAAACTCTGGCTGATTGGCCCAGAGTTTCACACCCAGTTTCACACCTTGGCTCAGGCGATTAGAGGATCATCAGGGGGTCCTTTTGTCCCTCTGTGGGGGGTTACTCCCACTAGGTTTAAATCTGGGACTCTCCACCATTTGACCTTAGAACTAAAGAAGCTTCTCGGATGAGAGGTGAAACGTCTTCAAGTAACTTAAAGAAGTCCAGACGCTTTTCTTTCCAAGCTCCTTTGACTACGATGACCTGGATGACTGAGAACCTTCACAGACATATTGTTCCAAGCATAACTTGTTGCCCACATGTTGCCCATATCTTCATGCCATATTTAAACTGTTTGCTTGGCATATATTGTATGAAAGGACAATCCTCCCTAAAAATGACCAGGCACTCATCCACCATGATGTTTGAATTTAGGACCTAGATAAGTGACTGGCACTCCACACACTTGCCTGTGATCACTGCCAGTTTGTCTTATTGACGACAGCCTCGTCTCGTATCACAAGACCAAGGACAAGCAAATCATCCATAACAACATGAAGTGTTGTAGTTGCCCGAGAAATTGTCTGACCAGACTCTGCATACCATAAACTCCTGATAGATTCATTTCTAAACACCACTTAGAATTAAGACTCGTGTATGCTTTGATGTTGTAAGTCGCATTTACCATTATGGTTTTGATAGACTCAGTCAGGAGCCGTTCTCTCTCCTCCTCACTAGTGTAGTGATCAAATATCTAGAAAAGAGCCTCATTTATAGTGTATTGGAGCTGCTACATAATGAACTGAAAACTTTTTGAGGCATGTCTCAAAATAGTATTACACATCAAAGCTTCACATTTTTTTGAAAATGTTAAGAAATCATTTTTGTGGACAAACTCATGGAATCTTAGGTCAGTCTAATCAAATTAACTACATTGTTTAAGAGACAAAACTTTTAAATGGGTTAAATTTGACCAGAACACAACATGAAAACCGTTCTAGTAGGACTTAATATTAAGATCACAAGCACAATCCCAAGACCTGAGAACTAGCTAACCTAAATTCATAATTTAGTTTATTTGTTATTAGTAACTCCTGCACTTTTCTGCTCTGAGGAGCAAAAACGTATGCTCTGAAGATTCCTATTGAAAGCCTCAAACCTGGGGAGTAGAAGAATAATTAAAAAGATTTAAACTGTGATAGAAGGTTACTGACCTTGGTTTGTTAAGCAGAGCAGCCATGAGATCAGAACTAAAGATAAATGACACACGGTTAATTAACATACTTAACTTAACTTTATGGCAAAACAAATAAATAAAGTGGTATCACAGAGATAATAAAATAGAGATTATAGATCATGCCCTCTATATTTCCATCTTCAGAGAAACAGAGTTTTCATTCACTGACAGCATTGAGAGATAAAACCAAACTGTTGTTATTTTTCTCCAAAAATTGTTGTATTTTTAATAACTAAAACACTGAATTTAACACATAACATGTAAATAAAATACTTACAGAACTGAAATTGTAATGAAATTTCCTCCATAGCACTTCTCAGTTTTGTGATTTTTTACACCTTTTTTTGTTAATATTACCAACGAGAGCCCGCCCACTTCCTTAATGTCACTCTTGTTCTCTCTGTCTATGTGCGTGTGAGTGTGTGCAAGTATTTGTCACACTAAATTTATTTTTTCTTTCGTATTTTCTTACTCATTTTATTTAAATAAAAAAATGCACAGCCAGAATTAGCCTAAATAACCTAAAACCAGCAGTTTTATCGTTGGTGACTTTACTTCATGCTATTACCAGCTCCTATGGAGTCAAGGTCCCCACCAATCACTGTACTGGTAGTCGGCAGGCATTATCCAAAGCTGTATGCTGTAAACAGGGGACAGTGTCAAAATATGTTCAACAACAAGTATTATGGGCTCCTACGGTTAATGTTTGTGCTGTTCTTTGCGCTGCACATTTCAATTTCCACTACCAGACTTGGAAAGACCAGCAGTGACGCCTTGTGGCAAAAGAGTGTATCACATGACATGATTGGCTGACTTACTCATAACAAGCAAAAGCATGATTACATATGTATTGCATATTTTACTCTCTGCAATTATGATCAGGCTCTATGTACTTGTTCTAATAATTATAAATTATTATTAGTAGTAGTAGTAACATTTCTGCAGGGGCCTGCAATACACACAAAAAAATCTTTATTTTTTACATTTTTACACTTCTGTACAGGTGCTATATTTTTTGTACATTATAGAGATGGATTCTAGATGCACCAGTGTGCCTCAATTCAAGGAAAATTGTGGTTTTAGAGATTTTTGAAACTGAACATGCCATGTCTGTGTGTATTTTTATGACATAGTTGTGACAGACTTCAAAGGTGATTTTGGCAGTGTCATGAAAATGATATGTATTGCCAACACATTTGTTCAGGTTCCTACAGAGACAGGCACCTGCTGGTGAGGAAATCTCAAAAGGTCCTCCAGTCCAGTCAGTGATATAAGTCATTTATTCCTACACTCAAATACAATCCACAGGAGCAGTTCAAAAATGAGTGCTCCTACCAGTAGCAAAAAAAAAAACCTGAAATAATTTTTAAACATTTCCATGTCACATCAAAGTGTGTAAGCTTTTCCTTTTTCTTTTTTGGCATCTAATACCATTTAATCTCCATAGACTTTATGACCAACATTTTACAGGCAGAACAGCATGCTGAAACATCTTTCATTTTTAACAGCGGCTTGCATCCAAAGATGCTGCTGCCACAATCCACCTGTTTGAGCCTACCTCCTCTGTTATACCATCAAAGAGGAAGCTTGGACCTATGAGAGCAACAGCTTCACACCCAAGCCAGTTCCTCATCAGCCTTCAGACCTGGGCCAGTCAACGTGTAATAAAGATATTCCTTACTGGCACCATTTTTATGGTGGCAACTTGTATTTCGCGTATTTTCTGAGACCTTAAGTGTAGTTCATGGGTAGAGGCCATCAAATAAAGCAGAAGCATACCCCATTTGCAGAATGACACTCAAGTCATGACAAACAATAACAACATAATACAATTATTATATTATATATATTATACATTTAGATTAATGTTCCTCAAGACATTGCCAACACATTTAGTACTTCTGTGGATTAGTCAGTAGTAGTAGTGCAATGCTGTATTGACTTTTCTTAACTTGTCTGCTACATTTTAATAGTCTCTTTTTTTTTTTTTTTTTTTTAAATGACATCAGAAACAGCAGTATGCGACATTACGTGATGGCAGCGCTTCAGTTCATCCTTTGTCATTTTTTTTTTTTTTTTTTTTTTTAATAAATAGGACAGGGGGAATGAATGAGAGAAAGAGGGGGAGAGAAAGAAAGAAAACCAAAGGGGAGAAGAGACGGTGAGAAGGGGGGGAAGAGAGAGAAAAAAAAAAAAGAACTCCTGGGTCACCTGTATGGAGAAAAAAAACAAACAAACAAAAAAAACAAACAGAGGAGACAGCAAACAACAAAGAGCAACATAATAATAGAGAAAACAAAGCACCATCACAATAAACTAGCTAGTCATAGATATCAATATTTACTAAATAATAAACGATATTGTGCAGCACGCAAGATAGACAGCGCACAGTGTGCTTTGAGGTAGCAGCCAAGAAAGCTTTAGTCCGCGTCTGTGAATACCCATGTGTGCATACCTGTGTGGATCAGCATGCTTGCATTCCAAAGGTTTCTCCATGTAATGATCTGCTAGGGAGTGTGGGGGGGCCACAGCCCCGTCCTCCAGGGTGTGAAGCGGGTATGGAGGAGATCAAAACTCCAGACATCCAGAGGCCCCAGAACACAAGAGACCATGGAAGACCAACAGAGGGGCAGCCGCGCCACTGTTCCAGTAAGAGCTGAGGAGAGTCCCAGATGAGAGCTCGCCCAGCAGCCGCGGAGCAGAAGTCAGGTGGAGTTGCAGTGACGCGCCCGTGAGCTCCGCCGGCCCCCAGCTGCGCCTGAGTGACCGAGCCCCAGGCCGAGAGGCCGGGGGCACCCCACCTCCAAAGGGGCCCGAGCGAGCCCCAGGCCCCAGGCCCCGACAAGCGGCCGCCAAGGAGTGAGCCGGTGTGTACCCGGACGCCCACCCCCAGACACAAAGAACCACCAACACACCGACACCTGAGGGAGTCCGCCACCGGCAGGGGAAGTGGTGGTGGGTGGAGATAGGCCTCCAAACCTTGGAGGGCCTGAGGTGTCCCCAGAGAGGTGGCGTCTGATACCCAACCTGACATATAGACACAGACATACAGGCACACACAGACACAAACATCCATTCCCACCCTCATGCTCTCATATGCACTCACTCCACACTCAACCAACGTGGAGACAGACATAAAGAGACGCTGTACACACGATCACACTCCCCAAGCGTACTCTACAAACCGGGTCTAGGTACCCTTGTCCCTGGAGGGGGAATTGCACCCAGACCCAGGAGGTGTTACCCTTTTCCCTGCGGTGGGGAGAGGCAGACCACCCCGACTCCGCAGCAGCAGGGAGGCCCCACACCCCAGACCGCAGTCGGACGGCCAACTCCTCCTACTAGCCCTCCCGCTCCAGCAGGCCGCAGAGAATGGGGGTGGGAGAAGACTCCAAACCTCCCTCCACCCGCTCATTGTAGTGTTGATGCATATGTGTTCTAAGGTGCAATTAAAACCCAGGAGGGCATGGAGCTACCTGCCAGAGAGCAGCAGGTAAGCGCATAGTCCCTCCTGCTAGCCCTCAATGACTAAGTGTATTTAAAATTGAGAGGTGGGCAACGACGTCAGGGGTGAGGTATACACCCTGATGGTAAATTGGACTCCGTGTATCGTGCCCACCCCCAAGATCCTATATGTATGTGTAATGAGAGTGTGAGTAATGTGAATGTCTAAGTTGTGGGATAAAATTGAGGCAGAGGCAGCCAGAAGGGACGGGGGGGGGGGGGGGGGGTAGCCTCCTCTGCACCCTGGTGACATACCCCCACTCCAAGGCCCTGCATGTGTGGGTGGTTGTGGAGGAGCGGGAAGAGGGAGGCAGCTGGAGATGGGGAGGGAAGGAAGGGAGGGGCAGGTAACCCCTCCCTGGGGCCAGCTCCCCCGCTGACCCCAGTAGGCACTCCCACCCTCCGCGACCCGCCAGGGAAGGGGGCCCAGGCCCATCAGACCGGGGCCCAGTGCAGTAGCGCCCTCCGGCTCCACAGAGCCCTGGACAGTCCACCCAACCCCACCACAGAGAAACCTGCACCCACCCACCATCCACACATCTTCCAGACTACATAAGACGGTAAACGCCCAGGCTGAGATCTTCCTCCACCTCTCCTGTATCTCCCCCTCCCGCAGAGAGTTCCTGAAGAGAGGAAAGCTCCTGCAAGATGTGACCATCCCCCCCACCAGATGAAGAGCCCCCCAGGCGGCTCGACGCACCGGCGGCACCCTGCTCCAGGGCCGGGCCCCATGCACCCACCCGCCCACAACCCCGGCAACACACCAACCAGGACCCAAGCCCCGAGGCCCGGCCCGGGCCCCAGCCCAGAGACGGAGCGCCCCCAGAACCTCACGCCCATCCCGGACCCACCCAGGGGCAGCCAGGCTACCAGGTCAGTAACCCACGTCCGTCAGCACAGACCCTCCCCTAGCCCCGCTGCACGCAGCCGCGAGGAAACAGTCACCTGAGAGCCAACAGAGCCCCAACCGGACGTGACCGCTACCCCGGGTTGAGCCCCCCAAGGAAGATGCCTCCGGGGAACCCCCCGACGCCCTAAGCCTGTCCCTACCCCTCACCAATCACAACAGTGAAGGCGGGACCAAACTATGACCCCCACCCCCACTAGGTGATGGAGCTGATCAAAGGAGCCCAGAGCAATTGATCTAATGTGGTGGCAGAGGCTGTGTCAAGACTAATGTAATCTAATAGATAATTTCTATATTGGTTAGAATTAAGATTATTTTTATTTTTCCAGTTCATGAGGACTGTTTTCTTGGCTATGCATAGGGCAGTGAAAACCATATGGGCGATATTCTTTTCAGAAAAGAATTAATAGTCTCTTAGACTCTGTAATAAATGGCTTACACAATTTTTAAACAATGGGTAATAAATTATAGTTCAGTGTACCGTGGATTCCAGTTAAGGGTGCAGAACCATCTCAGCAATGATAAAGAAATGGAAGGGTCCTGAGCTGAAATTCAAGTGTGTTTTTTTCTCTCAAAAAGGTCTTAATATTTATGTAAATGTGATATAAAATAAATGTAAAAGAAATCTTAACACTTTTAGGCTGGCCTACATGGATGTAGATGAAAATTTCCATGGTAACTTTGAATTTAAGCAGATTCGTCTTAAAAGATATATTTAAAAAAATAAAGACTTGCAAAGTTTGCTGAAGTCTCTGCAGACTGATTGACTGGTTTCCCATCATTATTTTATAATACTGCATGACTGAGCCTATTTTAAACTGCTGCAAAGAACTGGACTGTCTTAAATTTTAATGAAATACTCCTGGTATAAAGCAAAAAAAAAAAAAAAAAATGTTTAACTAATTCAGAGTAAACAGAATCATACTTTATATTGCGCCAGCGTAACTAACGATGAAGCCTGAGATATCGTGTACTTCCTCGCGGAAGTCGAACACTTTAATCGCACGCCCTTTCGTACACGACCGTACACGAGAGATCGCCAGGGAGAGAGAGGGGAGGCCTATAAAAAGGCACACTCACTGTGACTATCAGTGACTTACTGTCATCTAGTGAGCTTCAACAGCTCTGCAGAAGCGGACATGGAAGGGCGGCTTTAACATCTCTGCTGTTGACTTTACCAGGTGTCGTCTTCTTGGGGCTTACATCTGCACGTAAGATTATTTATTCTGTCCTTTTTTTCCTGTGAAGTACTGTTTCACAATAGTAGTTTTGATTGTGCTGAATGCAGACGAAGGCATTCAGGACTTTCTGTTCCGTCATTGGAGGTTGTTGATGTTATCTTACTGAACTACACACGAGACTCGCCATTACGCCAGCGAGTATCCTTTATTATTCTCAACCCCTCCCACAAGAACCCAGCACAAACGTTCCCACCTCCTATCATTTACCCGATACTACAGTTTTCTTGTCAAAAAAACAATTCTGTCATGTCAGAAAGCGGATGAGACTTTTGAGATCAAGAAGGAGCTAGTGAAGAGAAGCGCTCGGAATATCCCCTCCTCCACGGACCTTTAGAGTGGATAAAAGTCCCTTAGATCAGAGGAATGGAGGCTGTTGTTACGTGTTACGTTGTTGTTACACCAGATGTCTTTGGTATCCTGCTGAACCCAAGCCTAAGTACATGGAACACACCCTTCTGAAAAATCCAGACAACAATTCATCACCTTTGTAATTACACTGCACAGTGAAGCTGTTATTATTATGGACGTCTTTGAAAAAAAAAGAGTGCTTCCGTGTAACAACACATTTTCTCACTTTATGTTATTATGATAAGAAAGAAAGAAATAGAGTCAAGTTCCCCAACATCCAAGAAGAAGGACAATCTTTACTGAAAACTGTCAATTTTAAATAAATACAAAACACACCTAAAAAATAAAAATAAATTATAAATTTTGTTAGTCCAACTGCAGTTTGGCATTTACCACACCAAGTCTAACAGCAGCCATGAAATGTTTTATATTTCAAGCTACTTTTAATGCAGTGAGATATTAGAGCATTTTTAATGACAAATTGAAGACCACAGAGCAACTAATACCGGTCGCCCGTAATCTTTTATAAAAAAAATTTTTTTCATATAAGGTGGGGAAATTCAGGCTAATTATAAAAGGATCAGCAGAGCTCAGTGGTCCTTCTGGAGTTTCTGTAGAAGTAAATGGTTGTGCATGCTTTGTGTTGTTTACAGAACCAATAGAGGTCAAGGCTAAGTCTGGAGAAACTGCCTGTCTACCATGTCCAGTTGCGAGCAACATCAAAGTGGTAGAGTGGAGCAGACCTGACCTCAACCCAGAATGTGTCCTTTTGTACCAGGATAAACAGTTTGATCAAGACAGTCAGAATCCATCTTTTAAGAACCGAACACAACTTGACATAAAGGATGGAAATCTGACTTTGATTTTGCATGATGTTAAAATTAATGACACTGGAACATATGAGTGTCGTGTCCTCGCAAACCGCAGAAAGCGAGGTGTTGACCCCATCCACATCATCCACCTGAGTGTTGTTGTTCCTCCAGGTGAGTGAGTAGAGTTGAGTGTGTGTGTGATCAGAGGTGAAGCTGCTTCCTGGTTGTTGATGTTTGTTTCTAAAGATGTTGTTGATGAGACTTTGTAGAAAGCAGCTGGTCTGAGTGATGTGATCAGAGTGCAGTAGATAATGTCTGACAGCAGTTTGAAGAGGAAATGGATTCTGTTCTGTTCTTCACTCATCACCTACCTGACAGCTGACACCTCACATCTGTTTCTCACCTGCAGGTCAGACAGGAGGACACACAGAGGATGGATCTGCTGGACTGACAGGAGGTCATAGAAGAGGACATTTTCCACTGATAGCATCTTTATCATTTATTTGTGTAGTTTGTATTTTGACCACTGTAAAGTATTTCTGTCCTACTCGTGATAAAGCAACTGACACGCAGCTGGCATGAAATATTGCACTTGACAATTTTTATGTCACAGCAGACAAACCAGAGGATCTTGTATTATCATCCACCGTCGTTACAACAAAAAAATCTAAAGCAACAGTATCAACATGTTTCAGGGTTCCCATTAATTTCAACTATAAATATGGTAGAAACCAAGCGAACCCAAAACCCTTCAAAAAAATAAGGAAATATGCCACAAACTGTTCAGCTGGAACAAAATTAACGACAGTAGATTTAGCTATTCCTCATGTCTGCACCAACAGTATAGTTCCCCTCCTCGAGCTGCCACCTTGTCGTGGTGGAGAGGCTTGTGTGCTCAAATCCTGGAGCGTTCAGTTCCATGACAAACAGGTTTCAGGTGATGAGCCAGACTAAGAGCAGCTCAACAAAAAAAGTGATGGACTGAGTAAATCATGTGTCTTGTGTGACTTCTAGTTGTATAAACCAACTAAAAATATAAAAGAATGAGAGCTCTTTAACTGAGCCCTTAAACTTAGGTGCAGACTAATGCTTTTGTGGATATTTGTGATACAAATATCAAAGAGAGGTACCTACCTGCAAAACTTTATCTTTAACAGATCAGACAAAACTAATCTACTTTTAAATCACTTATAAAATACAAGAACTGTGGTTTTCTGCTGTAGTTGGGACTGGTGGAGCTCCTGTATATTAACTGCTTCGCACTGTTAATGTGTTGTTGTTTATTTTTTAAAGAAATCAGTAAATATACAGGAGGTTCTCATCCCCTGCTGTTCTCAAGTGCTTTATTTACTAATTTAGGAAAATAAATGTACTACATTTTCTTCTATCAGAAGTTTTGGTTCAGGCTTTATTACAAGCACAGAGTGAAACGTGTATTAATCAACTAATCTTTATATTTAATAAGTGATCTAAAAGTAGATTTTTTGTGTATTTTTGATTTATATTCTTTAACACAATAACTTAAAGACAACCTTTTTTCTGGATATTTGCATAAACATTTTGATTTTTACAATGTAGAGAATAAATTACACTCCACATTTTGAAAGTAACATTTGCTGTTGGTTTCCTTTCTCCAGAAATGATCGCAAAAGCTATTCAGTTTGTAACTGATCCTGTTGGTACACACCCAGTATCTTGTTGAAACAGCACTAAAGTACGTGTGACACACCCTCTGGGCTTTGCTCCAAGTAACCACAGATGGAAACACAGACACCCATTCATTATCTACCAAGTTAATCCTTAGAGCATTTTGAACACATCCTTGCGTGTCTCCTGATAATAATCCTCCTAGCTAGTCTGGGCCTGCTCATGTAATTAGAGACAACAAAGCGAAGCTCTTATTACAAGGTGCAGGAGTTGTACTTTGCATTTTGTTCCTACCACAGCTTGATTCAGCGCTGGGTTTTTAAGGGAGAAGAAAGCAGTTCCTCTTCAGTATGATATAAGTTTTCTCTTATTTCCTTTGTTTATTAGCAGAAAATAAGGCAGACTTTTCAAATCATGTTGCAAACAGTTGATGTGTGAACAGTAAAAGGTTTCTAGGGATCTTGGTTTATTGACAGAGCTCAAAGTAGATCCCTTGTGCATTACAGAAACAGAAAAGGTTTGCCTTTATTTCTGTGGAAATGAATGCTAAAGTATTTAGCCTCATGAAACTGAGCGTGTTTCTGCAGGTCCTCTCATGCTCCTACTCTTACAAGAATCCTGCTGATCAAGTCTAAAAATAGTCACAACAAACTGAGCTCAGTTTGGCCTGTTTCTGTATGTTTTTCACCAGGCACTGCAGCACTAAAGGGTTAAAGATATAGATTTAATATTCCCTTATACAAATCTTTAGATATTATTTTAGAAAGTCTGGTCAAGTTTTTCATTCTCACCTTTTTCTTTATATCTGATATTAAAACATAAAATCTGTTTCATAATAGTCATGTTTTTTTCCATGATCTCTCTGTAAAACAGCCTTTACAGTTTTACAAAGTCCTGTAAAACAATAAGACCTAATGGTAAACTGATGGCAAAGACACTGTCTTTAATGACATTGTGTCATAAAAAAAATTAAAATATAACTTGCACAGCACATGGCTGTTAGTTCAGAACAAGTTCAACTCCAGTCATCCCAAACATACGTGCTTCTGTCTTTTACATTTGAGAAAGTGACATTTAAAAGAACAGATTGTACTCTTGCCACTTGTCATTTATAATTCAAAGAAAGAATCTAAAGATAATTTATGACCTGAACAATGTGATCAGACTAGTTTTAATCAGTGGGATTTTCTTTGTTTGTCTTCTTGTAAATTCAGTTCCCAGAAGAGGAACCACATAGTTCCTGTTAGTTATCCGGGGGGTGGGGTACTCACTCTAAATGGCCTGACTGGGCCTGTCCCTGTCAGCACAGCAGAGAAAATAAAATTAAATGAAGGGCCTTATTCAGTGGATGTTTTGTGTTTTGAAGTGTTTTGTACCTCCCACTCCACAGTCTGAATCAGATGTCATAGCTCCCTTTGGAGCTGAGTCACATGAAAAGTCCCGCTGATCACATTTTCCTCCTGCAGCATGACTGTCAAATATCCCCTTTAGATCAAAAAATAAAAATATTCATTACACTAGCTATCATGTACAACAAGTAGGCCTGCAGAGCGAGAGCAAAGTGCTCTAATAGGGTGATATCTTAATGACCTTGTAGTACCATAAGATGGGGCCTGATTATTTAAGACCTTGTATGTGAGGAGCAGGATTTTGAATTCAATTCTGGATTTAACAGGAAGCCAATGAAGGGGAGCCAAAACAGGAGAAATATGCTCTCTCTTTCTAGTCCAGGACTCAGAAACTCCTGAGTAGATATCACATGCTCTATGTTTCATAGGATAGCACCTTGGGACTGATTAACTTTACTTTTATCATCCTCTATATATCTATCTTAATCTCCATGTGGGATTCCTCCCTCCTGTACACATATAAAAGATGTAAAAGCTGTCATCAAAATATATCAGTATAGTATTCTTGACCCTTAGAAGCAGAGCAGATATTTTTAAAAAGGCGGCACCAGGGCACCAAACAGGCTAGGAGCGCCACTGCTCAGGAGGATGCAGCCCATGAATTTGGACACCCCTAAGGTGTCACAGTTTGATGCTTATCCCATGCTCAGGTCGATGAGATCCTGGACCGGTAAGGAAAAGCTCGTTTTTTCATGATGTTGAATTTAACCAAGGGCTACTGGCAGAGTCCTAAATGGACAAACATCCTTCTCCACTTAATATGGTTTTTACCAATTTGTCCTCCTGCCACCTTCCAATACCTCATTGAGGATTTTGCATCGTCGACAGTGACACCTGGGAAGCGCAAGTGCAGCAAGTGGCCTTGTTTCTGGAGTCCCTGCAGCATGCAGGGCTCACAGTCAACCTGAAGAAGTGTGCAGCAGGCAATGCCAGATGGCTCCACAGGTGTCAGGGATGTTGTTCCACACAGCTAACCTCCATCATCAAATCTTGAGTAGCTACCAGCCCCCGGAGGAAAGAGCTGTGAGTTGTGTGCCGAGGAGAAATAGTCAGCTCAAAAGCTGTACAAGCAGACTGTGTGTTAGACACACATTTAGTAAACATTGAATAATTAAAACCAGTTCATCATTCAAATCTTTACAAATCTCTCCCTGAGACTCTGAATGTCAAAAATGGGATCCGGTCGCTTTTATCAGTCATGTGTTTCCAGTTTGAACCGGTTCTTTTCTTTCCTGTAATTTGTCTCTCTGTGTTTTATGAGAAGCAGACTGTTCCTCTTAAAGTTATCATGTGGCCAGAACACAGCTGCTGATGAAAGACTTGAAATATACTTAAAATGCAAAGAGCAGAGCTGAATGTAATAACTGGATCACAGGGAGTTACAGCTGGAGGTAACTGACATTGTGATATCTGTGGGACTCATTTACTCAGTAACTCAATGAGAGTTCTAGGCTGCCTCATGTAGGTCAGCTTTTCTGTGACATTTGAGTCACATTTGGCCCACACAACTCATTTTAGCCTTCCTTTGCTGTCTCATATTCAATTCAATTCAATTCAATTCAATTTTATTTATATAGCGCCAAATCACAACAAAAGTCACCTCAAGGCGCTTCATAGATACAGAGAAAAACCCAACAATCATATGACCCCCTATGAGCAGCACTTTGGCGACAGTGGGAAGGAAAAACTCCCTTTTAACAGGAAGAAACCTCCGGCAGAACCAGGCTCAGGAAGGGGCGGCCATCTGCTGCGACCGGTTGGGGTGAGAGAAGGAAAACAGGATAAAGACATGCTGTGGAAGAGAGACAGAGGTTAATAACAGATATGATTCAATGCAGGGAGGTCTATTAACACATAGTGAGTGAGAAAGGTGACTGGTGAGGAAAAACTCAATGCATCATGGGAATCCCCCGGCAGCCTACATCTATTGCAGCATAACTAAGGGAGGATTCAGGGTCACCTGGTCCAGCCCTAACTATATGCTTTAGCAAAAAGGAAAGTTTTAAGCCTAATCTTAAAAGTAGAGATAGTGTCTGTCTCCCGAATCCAAACTGGAAGCTGGTTCCACAGAAGAGGGGCCTGAAAACTGAAGGCTCTCCCTCCCATTCTACTTTTAAATACTCTAGGAACAACAAGTAGGCCTGCAGAGCGAGAGCGAAGTGCTCTAATAGGGTGATATGGTACTATTCCCAATGTGAGACTCAGAAAGATGAAACAGAAACATTGCTGTGGAATTTCTGTGGTTAATACAGAGACTGTGCGACTAAGAATTAAAGCTGTCTTTCAGTCTGTGTTCAGGGCTGGGCTCTGCCAGGGAACAGATGACATGTCTGTGTTTGAAACTGTTTTGCAGTGTGGTTTCAACACCTCCCCCACACCACAGAAACAGCAGAGCGCTGCCTTCTACACAGAGCACAGAAACTTCCTCTTTAAC